CTCCCAGAAGCAGTATGCCGATCACGAGCGACGAGATCATTTAGTTGCAGTGAAGATCAGGTGCACCTTGATACGCGCAACTTGAACCTGTCTCACCTTCCATCCAAGATCCGACCTCGCTTCTGTGGTCCATTTTTTCGTGGAGGCACACGTGACATCAGTTACATTCCGCTTGCGCTTACCAGATACGTGGAAGCTTCACAACGCTTTCCATGTTCAGCTACTAAAGCCCTACAAGGACCCCAACCAACAGTTCCAGGGATGGCAGCTACCACCACCACCACCACCTGTTCTCGTACAAGATGAACCAGAATACAAGGTGGAACGCGTTCTCACTCATCGGCGCCGCGGCGGCAAGACCCTTGAGTTCCTGATACGCTGGAAGGGATACGACCCCTTTGAGGACAGTTGGGTTGCAGAAGCTGATATGGGCAACGCACGCCATGCTCTCAAGGACTATCTTGTCAAGTAGGGTGTATCTCACGCCACCCAGCTTTGAGGGGGGGACGTGTGAGAGTACGACGGCTTATGCTGGCTTTGCTAGCTTGGTGGGTCCGAGCGGAGCGGGTCTGTGGGGAGCGTGTTCGAGGGGAGCGAGTTCGAGGGGTGCGGGTCCGAGGGGAGGGGGTCTGAGGGGAGCGGGTCCAATGGGAGCGGGTCGTTTCATACCTTTTGCATTCGACGGAACCTTCAAGTGTTACGCTGCTGCAATGGAGGTGATTTAACAGGGCATTTAGTGGTGACAAGTTTTGCTAAATTTTAGAAATCATTTAGGATATTGTGCATGTGCTTTTTACCTTGACACATTCATTTTTTATGGATGAACGTATTGCGGAGATTCACTCTACAAGGTAATGAGCTAGACTACGGGGGGTTGGCACGAACTACTAGGAGTGATCGTAGCTTTGCTTAGTACCTTAGCAGTTGCGTATTCACGGGAAAAATCGGCAAGAGTTTCACTAGCAAAGATTGCATTGCAGGATGGTAGACATCGCAATGACAAGAAAAACTATATCAGGCACCTAGCAACTCTGCAGCTAGCTTGGTTGACCGCTAGCACAGCATGGTCGACCGCCTGCCAGCGTTGCGTAGAGGAGCCATACCAGCACTTCATAAAGGCGACCTGCCAACAGAGCAGGTCGACGGCGTGCCAACGCTGCAGCAGAGCGGCTGTCCTGCGTTGCCCCGTAGAAAACAGCAGTGCGCACTCTCGCAGGTGCGCGCAGGCGATTGGGCCGACTTGCGTCGTTGTGCATCTGTCGGCTGTTATCTGCGCCTGATGAGCCATATCGATTTCGGGATACCAGCCCAAAGTTGCCTTCGCCATCGAGACCTCGACGACGTTCGTGTGCCTCCATAGAACATGTTGAGCAAGCTACCTGGTCTACTTGGACACCACCAAGTGCTCTGGTCGACCACCAAGTGCCTCTGGTCGACCACCAAGCGTATTGGTCGACCACCAAGTGCTATGATCGACCACCAACTGTTCTGGTCGACCACAGCTCCCGACGAGGAACACCGTGTTCGACAAATACCTCCGTCAACCGACACTGCAGCTGTTATCGCCGAGCTCCCCTCGTCGACTGCTTCTCACATGTCATGTCGACGGACTGCCCCGTCGACCTCCCCGTCGAACAACTCCTCCTGGTAGACGGCCAACCCGCCGACCAGCCTAGACAGCTGCAGCCGTCGAGTTCCCTGGTCGACGGCTCCAACCCCGCGACAGTCTTGTGCAGGTCAACAACCACCCCATCGACCTACCTCGCAAAAGAATGCCGTCAAGCACTCCTGGTCGACAGCAATACTACAGTGATTCCTTGCAGCTCGACGAAGCCTGTCGAGCAGCTCCCTCACTGTGAACGGTCGGCTGCTTCTCCCGTGCATCCGACTAGGCCGTCGGCGTTGCCCAAGCGAGGGCGGGGCCAACACTCCACTCCCGTTAACACTCCCCTGCCGCGCTCACGCTTAGGCCCGCAGCCCACACCGCAGCACTCTACGGAGAAAACCCGTCCTCGGTGTGAACCCACGCACAGCACGCCGTCACCGCACCAGCCGTGCAGAACGGCACGGCACTTAGTGCTGCACATCATCGTCTCCGTCGCCGACGTCGGCCAGACTCACTTGGCCGATTGCGACAAAGCACCGGTTGAAAGCCGGAAAGTGCAGCGCCTTCGTCAGAAAGTCAGCCGGCTGCTCGGTGGTCCGGATGTACTTCAGCACGAGCTTCCCGCGCTTCACCATCTGCTGCAGCCAAGCGTAGCGCCGCTCCATGTGCTTGAGGTTGCTCGTCAACCCCAAGCCCTCAACGACCTTGATGGCCGACTTGTTGTCCACCCGTAGGACAGTCGGCTTCCCTGCGTCGAGCATCTTGAACTCCGCAAGAAGGGAGCGAAGTCGGCGTCCCTCCTTGCCAGCGTTCGACGACAAGCCACGACCGGGAGACAGCGTCCCCTCCATAGACAAACACGTAGCCACTTGTGCTCGTCTGGTTTTGCTTGTCGCTAGCGCCGTCAACGTCCATGTAGTCGATCAGCTCCATCGACTCCGGTCCACCGCCGAACTCCAAGGCGGTGTCGCGGGTGTCAGCGAGGTAGGCGAGGCAGCGGTCGACCTTGTCCCAGTGCTGGTCGCTCCTCACCGTGAGTCCGCTCCCCAGCTTGCTGCAGGCGAAGGCGATGTCCGGCCTCGTCGTCGTCCCCGCAAACTGCAGCAAGCCAACTTCTGCCGGTACTCCTCCTCCTTGCGCTCCTGCGCCTACTTGTCGTCGAACGTCAGCTCAGCGTAGGCGTCGACCGAGACCGGCGTCTTCAAGATCCGATCACCTTGCTCCTCGTCGATGAAGCGCCTATGCAGCTTGTCGGCGTAGCTCTGCTTGTGCAGCCAACGCTTCTTCGCCGGCCTGTCGCATATGATTTCCAGCCCGAGATACTTGACGACCAGTGAGATCTCACGCAGCTCGAAGGCGGCCTCCAGCAGCTCCTTCAGCATCGCGGTGCTGCTGCTGGTGGCGAGGAGGTCGTCGACATAGATCAGCACCTAGCACGTCACTCTGCCGTCGCCGACCTTGAAGTAGAGAGCCTCGTCAACCTGGCTCTTCTTCCAGCCCGCGCCCAGCAGCATGCTATCAAGAGCCATGTACCACAGCAGCGGCATCTTCTTCAGCCCGTAGAGGCTCTTTAGCAGCTTGCACACCCGGCCGGTCCCATCGTCGAAGTAGTCCGGCTGGTACATGTACAGCACCCGGTCGAGCTTACTCTGCAGGAAAGCGTTCTTCATGTCGAGCTGCATCAGGTTGAGGTTGAGGACGGCGACGATGCTGAGGAAGATCCTCAGCGTGACGTAGCTGCTCACCGGCGAGTACGTCTCGTCGTAGTCGGCACCGTACACCTGCGTGGAAGTAGCTTGGGAATGCAGTGTGTATGGATTATTTATTGTATCTTCTTATCAACATAACAATTACCGTATTTACCCGACTAATACGGCCCCGGGTTTTATCCTACCCCGGGTAAAATTATGGGGTGTATTTATTATCAGGGTGTAAATGTATTAAACCCGGGGTGTAATCCTATGTGTTGTTTTTTCCTCTAAGGCAGAATCAAACACTAGTGTTATAGCTCGAACTGAACATTCGCAATGTCGCGTCAGGGGCTAAAATTGACCACGCGCGTGCGCGAGACCAGCGCGTGGCGATTGACTGCTGTCAGACAGAAATTACAGACTCGGTTGACTTTTTTCTCCTACTATTTCACTCGATATGGAGGGTGTTTACAGAAGGGGGGTCTAATGCGAATCCGTTACAAAAAAGCGGGTTTATTACAAAAGTGCAGTTAGGATTAGACCCGCCCCCATTTAACGACCCGGGGGGCTATAATTTTGGGGGGGCTATTAGTCGGGTAATTACGGTATGTCTCACTAGCAAGATGGGTTACAAATATGCAACTGAAATATGCAAATTTCTCTAATTCCTTACTGGGCCACTTTGTACGCGTACAAGCCCATTTATAGGAAGACCAGGCTCGGTCCGACGACCTCGCCTTCCGAACGAACACACCGTCGCCTTTGGGTTTGACAACCCCGAACCAGCATCCAAGCTCGAGATCCTGGAAACCCCATTGAGCTAGCATTTCACTATATCATTGCTAGACTCCATAATCAATGCAGTAATTGTAATTGTCAGAATATTGTGCTATGTAGGTTGTAGTAGGGTAGCCAATATGGGGTACAACCCAATTAGGGTTAGTACTTGTACTAAACAGTTTTATAGTTCATTCATTCTTGGTGCTAGCTTCTGACATGGTTTCAGAGCAGGTCCTGTTCCAGGACCGTTTCCGTTAGGGCCCACTCGATCGTACCCTGCCCGTCGCGCTGCCCCACCCGTCGTGCTACTTTGCCCTACCCTGCCTGCGTCGCGCCGCCCCGCGCACGCCCTGCCCTGCGTCACGCCCCACCCGCGCATGCCCTGCCCTGCGTCGTGCCGCCCCGCGCACGCCCTGCCTGCGTCGCGCCGCGCGCATATGCCCTGCCCTGCCCATCGCGCCGCCCGCACGTGCCCTGCTTGCGTCGCGCCGCGCGCGTAAGCCCTGCCCTGCCCGTCGCGCCGCCTGCGCGAGCCCTGCTCTGCCCGCGTGCCGCCCGCGTACGCCCTGCCTGCGTCGCGCTGCCCGCGCCCGCCTTCCCCTACGTCGCGCCTCCCTGCGTACGCCCTGCCCTCAGTCGCGCCGCCCGCGCGCGCCCTGCTCTGCCCGCGCGCCGCCCTGCTGACCGCGCGCGGCCTGTTTTTTCTGCCCGCGCGCAACCTTGCCAGCCGCGCGCCGCCCCAGCCTGCCCACGCGCTGCCCCTGTGCAGATCCGCGCGCCGCCTCGCTTTCCGCGCGCCGCTCTTGCTTGCCTGCGCGCCGCCCTTTTGCAGCCCGCACGCCGCCTTTGCCTGCCCGCGCGTCGCTCTGCCCTGCCTTCGCATTGCCCTGCCCTGCCCTACACGCCACCCTACTCTGCTAGCTATGGCCACTCTCAGTGTCCTCGAGTTCGATCCTGAGGGCCGTCCCATCCCGTTCGAAACGTGGCTTGATGAGCTGTTCTTACTGAGCGATTCTAGAGACAGCGTTTCGTTGTTTGACCACACGTCTGGAGCCTCTCTCGCCCCTCCCGACACAGCTGACAGTGCGACTCGCTCACAGTGGCTTACCCGTGACGCTGCTGCTCGCCTAGCCGTTCGCAACCACCTGCCGTTAGCCGAACGCGCTCACTTTGGCCAGCACAAGACTGCTAAAGCCCTGTACGACGCTGTAGTCGCTCGTTACTCCTCCCCTGCCATTGTAGCTCTCGGCTGCCTTATACTGCCCTACCTCTTTCCCGAGCTGTCCTCCTTTGCCACAGTTGTTAACCTCATCACCCACCTTCGCACTAGCGACACTCGCTACCGCGCCGCGCTGAAAGCGGAGTTCCTAGACAAGAACCCCCGATGTACATCACGCTCTATTTCATCGTCACACGCCTCCCTGACTCTCTTCGTGCTGTCAGGGACCACTTTCTCACCCTTGACCCCACTGATCTCACTGTCGACCTGCTCGAGGAGCGCCTTCTTGCGGCTGAGACTAGCATAGTCGCTGTAGGTGCTGCTCGTGGCACTCTCGCACGCCCTTCTTTGAGAAGTGCTCCCCCTCCCCCCTTGCCCCCTCTGTTGCTTCTGCTGCTGCTGTCGACTTCCTTGGTGCTGAGGAGGTCGGCGCTGCTTCTGCTCCTAGTGGGAAGCGCCGCAGCGGCAAGGGCAAGGGAGGCAAGAGTGGTGGAGGTGGCGGCCGGGTGGGGTGGTGGTGGAGGCGCTGGAGGTGGCGGAGGTGGCGGTGGGAGTGGTGGCGGGAGTGGGGGCGGTGGTGGCGGCGGTGGCGGCAGCGGTGGGGGTGGTGGTGGTGCTCGTGGCGGCAGTGGGAGTGGTGGCGGCGGTGGTGGCGGCGGTAGGAGTGGCGGCGGTGGCAGTGGTGGTGGTCCGGCTGGAGCAGTTCAGCGGCAGCAGCAGCAGCGTCCGCGTGAGACCCTCACGCCCCAGCAGCTTCGTGAGTGGTTTGCTCAGCGTGGGGCGTCTGGGGGTAGTGCTCGCTGCCCGTACGTCATTCGCACAGGTGACCGCGCTGGTCAGACGTGCGGGAAGTTTCACACCCAGCACCGCTGCTTCTCCCGCCTAGACGACGCTTGGCGCGCAGAGTTTGGCGATGAGGCAGAGCTTCCCCGCTGGGCGGAGCTGCGGAGGTCTGGTGTTGATATCTTTGCTCTTGACTATGACGCTATCCTTGCTGCCATGTATGCTTTGACTGTTAGTGCTGAGGGTGACTGTTACTTGTGCGTGTGTCGCCTGACCCAGGAATAAAGGAATCTGCTGCTCTAGGTGCTAGTGAGTCTGCTCTCTCTGGTACTGCGTCTGCTGAGGCCTTGCACACCTTCACGCTTGACTCAGGTGCTTCTCGCTGTTTCTTTCGCGACAGTACCACAGTCACACCACTCCCTAGACCCGTTGCAGTCTCACTGGCTGACCCCTCTGGGGGCCCGGTTCTTGCACGTTCCTCCACTGTGCTCCCGTGTCCGGCGGTTCCTTCCGGTTCATTGTCAGGTCTCCACCTCCCCTCGTTCTCGACGAACTTGGTGAGTAACGCAGTCCTTCAGGATGCATGGGTTGATACCTTTACCCCTGGAGGACAGCGTGTGGCGATCTGCACGTGCTCCCGGACTGGCCGTCACCTGGCCACATTCACCCGTCGGCCTGGGTCGAGTCTGTACACACTGACTACTGCGCCTCCTCAGGTCGCTGCGTCTGCTCAGGTGTCCGCGTCAGGTCAGGTGGCAGCCCCCTACTCGTGTCGCCTCCTATCGCACCAGACTCTCCTTTGGCACCACCACCTTGGTCACCCCTCCCTGCCACGCCTCCGTGGCATGCACTCCCGCCTCCTTGTCTCTGGTCTTCCCAGGTCTCTGCCTCCCCTCCCACCCTCGCCTGCCCCGCCCTGGAATCCTTGCGTCGAGGGCCGGCAGCGCGCCGCTCCTCACTCCTCCTCGTTTCCCCCGACGACTGCTCCCCTGCAGACTCTCCACATGGACGTGTGGGGCCCAGCCCGCGTCACTGGACAGGGCCGCGAGCGCTACTTTCTGCTGGTTGTTGACGACTACACGCGTTACACCACGGTCTTCCCCTTGCGCAGCAAGGAGGAGGTCCCTGCTGTCTTGATCCCCTAGATCCGCGCTGTTCGTCTCCAGCTCCGCGAGAGGTTCTGCACAGACCTTCCAGTCCTGTGTCTGCACTCTGACAAGGGTGGTGAGTTCTCCGACCTCCTGCGGAGCTTTTGACACGGGGAGGGCATCCTCCAGTCGTTCACGCTTCCGGCCTCTCCGCAGCAGAATGGGGTTGCTGAGTGCCGCATTGGCTTAGTCATGGAGGTGGCTCGTACCTCCATGATCCATGCGGCTGCTTCCCATTTTCTGTGGCCGTTTGCGGTCCGGTATGCTGCGCATCAGCTCAACCTCTGGCGTCGTGTCTCCTTGTAGGCAACCTCGCCCACACTACGTTGGACGGGGGAGGTTGGCGATGCGTCGGTGTTCCGGGTCTGGGGCTCTCGTGCCTTTGTCCGCGATACCTCCGCGGACAAGCTCTCCTCCCGCGCCATTCCCTGTGTCTTCCTTGGCTTCCCCCCTGACGCGCCTGGCTGGCAGTTTTACCACCCCACCTCGCGCAGTGTTCTGTCCACTCAGGATGTCACGTTTGACGAGTCGGTTCCCTTCTACCGTCTCTTCCCCTACCGCACTGCCCCTCTTCCCCCCCCGCCGCTCTTCCTCGCTCCAGGTCCCCCTCTGGTAGACCCCCTCCTCCCTCAGGGTCCTTCTCTTTCAGGTGTATCTCATGTAGACCCACTTCCCTTGGCTGAGCCTGTCGAGGTCACAGGCGACTCTGGTGCTGCTGGGGGTGGTCCTGCTCGGGGTGCTGAGCCTGGAGGTGCGGAGCCTGGGGGTGCTGAGCCTGAGCGTGAGGAGCCTGGGGGTGCTGAGCCTGAGCGTGTGGAGCCTGGGGGTACTGAGTCTGGGGGTGCTGAGCCTAGGGGTGCTGCGTCTGCTGGAGGCCCTACGGGTGCCTCGCCACAACGGACGTCTCTCTCACCACAGCAGCTGCTCGAGTGGTTTGCTCGACGCACCCGACTTCGTAGTGGAGCTGCTGGGGCTGAAGGCACTGCCGCTGGAGACGCTGGAGCTGGAGGCGTTGGACCTGGAGACGCTGGCGCTGTGGGCACTGGAGCCGGAGGCGCTGGGGCTGGAGGCCCAAGAGCTGGAGGCGCTCACACTGGAGATACTAGAGCTGGAGGTACTGGCGGTACTGGGGTTGCTAGTCTTGGAGGTACTGGTCTTAGAGGCACTGTGGAGCCTCTCTCCCCACAGCAGCTGCTCGAATGGTTTGCTCGGCGCACCCGCCTTCGGAGTCGCGCTGCTGGAGCTGGAGACACTGCGGCTGGAGGCGCTGGAGCTGGAGGCGTTGGAGCTGGAGACGCTGAAGCTAGAGCCGCTAGAGCTCGGGGCACTGGAGCTGGAGGCACTGGAGCTGAAGGCACTGGCGTTGGAGGCGTTGGAGCTGCAAGCGCTGGAGCTGGAGGTGCCGGCGCTGGAGGCACTAGCGCTGGAGGTGCTGGAGCTCGAGGCACTGGAGCTGCATGTGCTGGAGCTGGAGGCGCTGGCGCTGGAGGCACTGGAGCTGGAGGCACTGTAGCTGGAGGCACCGGAGCTGGAGGTGCTGGAGCTGGGGCCCTGTGCAGCAGCGCCCGTTTTTCTTGCCGCCGCCGCAGCTGTCCTCACTACCGCCCAAGTCAGTGCTCCGTCAGGTTCTTAGTCTTCCTTCGTCGACTGCCTGACATCCCGGACCCTGATTCTGACTTGGTTTGTGCTGCTCACCCTACTGTCACGCGTCTCCTAGCCACTGTTATCACTGACCCGTCGTTTGAGTCTGCTGCTACGTCTGCCTTAGTTGCTGAGCTTGTGGACTTTCCTATTGCGTGTCGTCTAGACTACGCCGCTAGTCTCGTTGCTGAGTCTGAGTTTGTCTGTCCTCCGTCCGTCGGGGGTGAGTGTGCTCTTGGCACGGACGTCCTTAAGGACAGGCAGGAGGACTTTGAGTGTCTTGCGGCTGCTGTACCTCATCTCGTGGCCTGGCTGCTTGCACCTGAGGGAGACCCGGATGCACTGGACATCCCAACCCCGCGCTCTTACGCAGAGGCGATTTCGGGTCCCTACTCCTCTCAGTGGCAGACAGCCATGGATGCAGAGATGGCATCCTGGAAGTCCACAGGCACTTACGTCGACGCAGTTCCCCCTCCTGGGGCGAACATAGTCGATGGCATGTGGATTTTCAGGGTGAAGCGGCCGCCGGGTTCTCCGCCTGTCTTCAAGGCTCGTTACGTTGCTCGAGGCTTTAGTCAGCGACAGGGAGTTGACTTCTTCCAGACCTTCTCCCCTACCCCGAAGATGACCACTTTTCGGGTGCTGCTGCACGTTGCCGCTCAGCGTGACTACGAGCTTCACTCTCTTGACTTCAGCACAGCCTTCTTACAGGGCAGCCTGCACGAGGAGATCTGGCTACGCCGCCCACCTGGCTTCACTGGGCCGTTTCCTGCAGGTACCCAGTGGAGCCTCCGGCGGCCAGTCTACGGTCTCCGCCAGGCGCCTCGTGAGTGGCACGACACACTGAGGATGACGCTTGTGGCTCTTGGGTTTGCTCCTTCGACTGCTGACCCGTCGCTGTTTCAGCACACAGGCACTTCACTGTCGCCGTTCTACATCCTCGTGTACGTCGACGACTTGGTTTTTGCCACTGCTGACAATGAGGCCCTGGCCCTTGTGAAGTCGGAGCTGCAGACAAGACACACCTGCACTGACCTGGGTGAGCTGCGCAGGTATCTTGGCTTGCAGATCACCCGGGACAAAGCATGCCGCACCATCACCCTGACCCAGTCACACATGGTGCAGCAGATCCTTCAGCGCTTCGGCTTCCAATTCTCCTCGCCACAGTCCAGTCCTCTGCCTACCGGTCACTCGCTCTCAGCTCCACCTTCGGACGAGTCCGTAGAACCGAGTGGCCCGTATCCAGAGCTTGTGGGCTACCTCATGTACCTGATGACTTGCACTCGACCTGACCTTGCGTACCCTCTTAGCATCCTGGCTCGCTACGTTGCGACCGGGAGACACAGGAGAGAGCACTGGGAGGCTGCTAAGAGGGTGTTACTTGTGCAGTACATCAGGCATGGGGCTTGTGCTTGGAGGACAGGGTCGAGTTGTCCTCACTGGACACTCAGACGCCTCTTGGGTTGATGACCTGGCTACGCAGCGGTCGTCACAGGGTTACACCTTCAGCCTTGGCTCCGGCTTTGTTTCTTGGCGTTCCACTCGCTCGTCTTTGTCAAATTATATATGTAACATATATGTGTAGGCTGTAGTGGGGTAGCCAATATGGGGTATAGCCCCCATTAGGGTTTCATATTTGTACCCAACTTGTTTCTAGTTCATCATTCTTGCCTAGCTATTCTGACATGGTATTCAGAGCAGGAGGTCCCTAGGACCTCAGGATCGATTTTTTTTAGGGCCCACCACCAACCGCTCGCGGTTACCGTGCTACCCCACGCCCTGCCCTAGCCTGCCTACCTTGCCTGCCTTGCCTGCCCGTCGCGCTGCCCCGCAGCCCCGCGCGCCGCCCGTCGCGCTGCCCTGCAGCCCCGCGCGCGCGCCCTGCTTTAGCCCGTCGCGCTGCCCCGCAGCCCCGCACGCCGCCCGTTGCACTGCCCCGCAGCCCCGCGCGCCGCCCGTCGCGCTGCCCTGCAGCCCCGCGCGCCGCGTCCGCCACCTCGAGCAGCCCGCAAAAGCCCTCCCGCGGCCCGCAGCTGCCCCGCGCACCGCCCGCGCAGCCCGCGCCGAGCCCGCACTGCCCGCACGCGGCCCGCAGCTGCCCCGCGCATCGCCCGCGCAGCCCGCACCGCCCGCGCGCGGCCTGCTGCAGCCCCGCGCGCCGCCCTACCTGCTCGCGCCGTGCCTCTGCAGCCTGCGTGCGGTCTACTACTGCTCTGCACGCCGCCTTTGCCTGCTGTCTGAACCTTCTGCCTGTGCCTGCTGCCTGTGTCTGCTTCCTTTGCCTGCTTTGCGGTTATGGCGACGCTTAATGTTCTCGCGTTTGAGCCTGACGGTCGCCCGATAGAGTTTGCCACTTGGCTCGACGACCTGCAACTGTTTCTTATGACTGATGCCAAAGACGGCGTTTCACTGTTCGATCACGCGTCTGGCACTGCCGTTGCTCCTGCTGACACTGCTCCTGCTCTTGACCGCTCACAGTGGCAGACTCGCGATGCTGCTGCGCGCCTCGCTATTCGCAACCATTTGCCGATCACTGAGCGCGCGCATTTTAGCCAGCACAAGACTGCTAAGGCACTGTATGACGCTGTAGTTGCGCGCTATTCGTCCCCAGCCACTGCAGCCGTAGGTCGTCTCATCCTGCCCTACCTGTTCCCAGACCTGTCCTCGTTTACCACTGCTGAGGACCTTATCTCTCACCTCCGCGCTAGTGACGCCCGCTTTCGTGCCGCTCTTACTGACGAGTTCTTCGCCAAGAACACTACCCCGCTGTACTTTACCCTCTACATCCTCGTCACACGCCTACCTGACACTCTTAGCTCGGTCAGGGACCATTTCCTCGCCAAGGACCCTACCACTATCACTCTCGACGACTTCGAGCAGCAACTTCTGGCAGCCGAGAAGAACATTCTAGTTGTAGGTGCTGCTCGTGGCACTCCTCGCACTCCCCTCTTTGAGGGGTGCTCCCCCTCCCCTCTTGCCCCCTCCTACGCCTCTGCTGCTACTGCAGTCGACCTCCTCGGTGCTGAGAAGGTCGCAGCTGCTTCCGCTCCTAGTGGGAAGCGCGGCGGTACCAGGGGCCGCAATGGTGGCAGGGGTGGCGGAGGTGGCGGTGGAGGGAGCGGTGGTGGAGGCGGCGGGGGTGGTGGAGGTGGTGGGAGTGGTCGTGGGGGAGGAGGAGGTGGGTGGGGCGGCGGTGGGACAGGGAGTGGAGGAGGTGGCAGCGGCGGTAGTGGGGGAGGAGGCAGTGGTGGTGGCGGTGGAGGTGGGGGCGGGGGTGGGACCGGCCAGAAGGGGAGCCCCAGTGGTGGCCAGCAGCAGCAGCAGCAGCAGCCGCCGCAGCAGCAGCAGCAGCAGCGCCAGATCCTCTCTTCTCAGCAGCTCCATGACTGGTATGCCGGGCGTGGGGCGTCTGGGGGTTCTGGTCGTTGCCCCTATGTCATTCGCGTTGGTCCCCGCAAGGATCGCACATGCAACGGTTTTCACACTGAGTACCGCTGCTTCGCTCGGCTTAGCGACGCCTGGCGCGCCAATTATCCTGATGCTGCTGAGCTCCCCAAGTGGGCAGAGCTGCTTATGCGTCATGTTCCTATCTTTGATCTTGACTATGATGCAATTCTTGCTGCTATGTATGCATTGACTGTTAGTGCTGAGGGTGACTGCTACTTGTGTATGCCGCCTGACCCAGGTATAGAGACTGCAGCCCTAGGTGCTAGTGAGTCTGCTCTCTCAGGTACTGCGCCTGCTGAGGCCTTGCACAACTTTACACTTGACTCAGGTGCTTCCCGCTGTTTCTTTCGCGACAGCACCACAGTCACTCCCCTCCCTGCACCTGTCCCTGTCTCACTGGCTGACCCCTCTGGGGGCCCAGTGCTTGCACGGTCCAGTACTGTGCTCCCGTGTCCGGCGGTCCCGTCTGGTGAGCTGTCAGGTCTCCACATCCCCTCGTTCTCTACGAACCTGGTGAGCAACGCCGTCCTTCAGGATCACTGGGTTGACACCTGGACTCCTGGAGGACAGCGTGTGGCGATCTGTACGTGCTCCAAGACCGGCCGCCACCTGGCCACGTTCACACGTGCGCCTGGGTCCAGTCTGTACACCCTCACCACCGTGTCGCGCTACACCCCGCTGTCTCCCCAGCTGTACGCGTCTGCTCAGGTAGCTACCCAGTGTGAGTGTCGCCGCTTGTCGCACGACACTCTCCTGTGGCACCACCGCCTTGGTCACCCCTCTCTACCCCGCCTTCATGGAATGCACTCTCGCCTCCTGGTCTCTGGTCTTCCCAGGTCTCTGCCCGCCCTCCCTCCCTCGCCTGCCCCGCCCTGCATTCCTTGCGTCGAGGGGCGGCAGCGTGCCGCTCCTCACTCCTCCTCGTTCCCTCCCACAGAGGCTCCACTGCAGACTCTCCACCTGGACGTGTGGGGCCCAGCCCGCGTCCAGGGACAGGGCCACGAGCGGTACTTCCTGCTGGTCGTCGACGACTACACGCGTTACACCACGGTCTTCCCCTTGCGCAGCAAGGGTCAGGTCCCTGATGTTCTGATCCCCTGGATCCGCGCTGTTCGTCTCCAGCTCCGCGAGCGGTTCCAGTCGGACTTTCCTGTCCTGCGTCTGCACTCTGACAGAGGTGGTGAGTTCTCCTCCGACCTCTTGCGAGCTTTCTGTGAGGAACACGGCATCAGCCAGTCCTTCACGCTTCCGGGCTCTCCGCAGAAGAATGGGGTTTCTGAGCGCCGCATTGGCTTAGTCATGGAGGTCGCTCGTACCTCCATGATCCATGCGGCTGCCCCCCATTTTCTGTGGCCGTTTGCAGTCCGGTACGCCGCGCATCAGCTCAACCTCTGGCCCCGTGTCTCCTTGCCAGAGACCTCGCCC